GATCTCAGGTTCATCTGCGTGTCACCCGAGTTCCCTGACTCAGGGCAGGCACCTCTGCTTTAGGATCTTTTCATTAAAATGTTCAGTAATAGTTTTTGATGTGTAAGGGCATACCAAGCAGCAAATGAGAAAACGACTACAATTATCACAGATCATGTAGTGATTTCTAAGATTTGAACAAATACAGACAGCTTTTGCTTTCTTATCTTACTACTAGCTCACATAACTGAAGGATGCTTGATTTCTCAGAATGACCTAAGATACCTCTTTCAGAGGATCTTAAGGTTCCTAGAAAACCCCTTAGAGCAACCAAACAAGAAACATGAGGAACGACGACAAAAAGAACATTAGGAGGTGCATAACTTGTCTAACATCATACGGAGAATTCTGTGTATCTGTGCATGCATGAGAAAGAGCTCATCGCTTGGATGAGATCATCAGGTTAACGACACGGACAAGCCCATCCTCTAGATTTTAGGGTTGAAAATAAGGAGCTACTGAAGGCGAAGGAATTTCCGTGGTTACAAAACTATCTAAGTATGCAAACCTGGACTTCTAGTAACTGGTGTGTACTTGTGACTAACACAAGAGGATCCAAAGACAACTGCTGCATCAGTGACTCCAGAGATGGCCCTGCAGGGCTCCGCACTGCAAACTACCGAGGACACCACAGAAAGGCAGGCACAGAATGTGCCCTCAAAGGACACGTTCCTGGCCACGATAAAACAGTAGTATCAACTTTACAAAGTGATCAGGTTTTTGTTTTTTTTTTAACTGACTTTTCTATATGGAACTTCTACAACACGCTTTTTACAATGCTGCTGCTTTAACTAATTTTATTTTTTTAATGGCTAAAGTAGCAATTCAGCAAGTTGTGGGTTATAAAATGATTGTGCCTTTAATAAACATGTATTGAATATCTGTCAAAAAAAATGTAAGTACTTGATATCAGATTACAACACATTACTAGAAAAAAGTTAAAAGACACTAAAAGTAGATACTGGGTTGGTATTAGTTTAAAAAATGCATTGGAGACATAGAGAAGCTAGCTTCTGAACAACTAGCATAACTGAAACCATGTTCATGAATCTTGTAGACAAGGCTACTGAATTATCTTTATTTAACAAGTGGAAGTCTACACAAAATATTTCTTTCAGTGAAGAATTTTTGGATGGGAACTGAGGAGAGGAATAAAGGTCAAAATAATTACTGAAACCAAAAAGGCCATCTAAAACAAACGGCAATGAATTATTTTTATGTGAATTTTCAACTTATGCCAGTTGGCTTTACTCCTAACTTATAATCCTTTCTCTAAACCCTATCAAAATAACAATCACACTAATAGCAATAACAGTAAGGTAAGGACTGTACTTATGGTTGGCAGAATGTGTTTAGATGAATCCCAAAATTATTCAATATACATATATATTATTTTTAAGTCATAATTATGGCACTGAAATCAAGGATACCTTCACAGTTCACTGGTTCAGAACATTAATGTACTTATCATACTGCATAATCCTATTTCATTGGGTAACCCAACAAATTCAGATCTTTCCAATAACTTTGTGCCTGGTGGAAGTAAACATTGGTGTTTTCCTAAGACCTTTAGCCAAATATAATTTTCAATCCCTTATAAATTTATAGCATATTTCATATTTATATTTCATCTTAAACCCAAAAGGATTGGAAAATGCTTATCACCTCACCTATAGTTCTTTTCTAGGTACCTACAACACAAGACCCTGGACAGTCTGTAAAGCACGTACCCATTTTGAAGAAGAGGAACTTAAGACTAAGGGGGGGTTAGATATCCTCAACTTACTATGAGGTAGGTGCAGAAGCTCCCAAAGACCATATGGATAGGAACTGAAGAAAGCATGAAGTTCAATGAAGAAAGAGGTGTGCGATTCTGATAAGGTAGGGTAGATCCAGAAAGCCGTGCTATGAAGGCTGGACTATTGTGAGGGCAACAGGAACAAAACACCTTGTGCAAGAGAGCAACACGACGGGACCTGTACCTTAGGAAAAACTCTGGCTACAGTGAGAACGATAAATCCGAGGGAGAACTGACAGCTGCCTGAACAAAAGCAGTGGTAATGAAGAGAGATACGCGGGTGAACTAAAGGGTACTCAGGCTGCCAGAGGGGCTGGGTGGAGAGAAGGAAGTGGAGACGGACACCGAGCTCCTGCAGAAGCTGGGGCCGGGGGAACAGCTGAGGTTCACTGTCGGGCAGGCTCAGATGAAAGCTTCTGTGCATCATCCAAGAAGCTAAAACACTTAGTAAGTGGCTGGATTTCGGAGACTGGCATTCAAGCCAGAGGCCACAGCTGGAGACACAGATGTGGCCATTTTCTGCGCACATGCTGTATGTGAGAGAGAAGCGGAGCAACGAGAGGGGTTGACTTTCCCCGAGAGTTAAATGTTTTGAGGACAGAAACCTGGTGGGTGTTCCAGCAACCAGGAGAAAACCCAGAAGAAACTGGTGCTCCACAGTAAAGGTAGAAAACAGCTTTCAGAAAGAGCTGCCGATTGTGCAAAATGCTGCAGTAGGGCCCAGGGAGGCAAAGAAGGAAGCACGACGTCCAGCGACCCGTCCAGCAACTCCGCAGCAAGGAGGTCCAGAGAGGACGGGCTTGTTTGGTGACAATGAGGTGGGTCTAAAGCCCGCAGGCAGCAAGCTGGGGAGGGGCCAGGAAGGGATATTCGGACGGCGAGGCGCCCACCTGCTTGTCTGAGAGAAGAGGGAGCAGAGACAGGGCAGGAGACGCGACGTTTGGGGGACGTGAGTATTCTGCAGGAGGAAAGGAATAAGGAATGGGAATGGGTATGGGACGCTTGCAGGTGGGGTGTCTGGAAGTGGAGGGTTCCAGTCTGATGCAGGATGCTAGAGAGCTCACGCCCTGGCTACTGCTTCCTTCAACGCTCTTTCCAGGTCACTGGCGTGGAAAGACAAGACTTCCCTCCCCTCCCCACCTCTCCTTCGCCCTTCGCAGGAGGCTGAGGGAATAGAATCAAACTGCGAAATAATCTGATGCACCTCATCCCAAAAGGCAGGGCCTCAACTCCTTCAAAGCCAACCCTAAAATCCTGCCAAGCCAGACATTTCCTTTTTGACAAATGGCTCCATCTAGCACACGAGCACACACTGTGCACACACACACGATTCAGAGTGGACTCCGGGCCCCAGTCCTAGAGCAAATGGTTTCCCTGAGTGCTAAATTTCAGCCCACCAACTCTTTTGGAGTCATCTCCTGATCTTATCGTCTAGATCTGATAATTATCCCACGTGCAAGATAAACGTAGTATTTTTTAAAAAGGAAAACAACAAACCTGTAATGTTAGAAGATAGTTACAGAAATCTCTCACATGTAAAAGAAAGGAAAGGATGGGACTACTAGATAACTATTAAGGTCAGCTCCGTTTTAACATTTATGATACCCAGTTTGGATTCCAAGTAAAGACGACTTTTCCTATAATCGCCACATCAGGCTCTGAAAGAACTATTGGTAGTATATTTGTACAGTAGGTTGATAAAGTATTGTTCCTTACAAACGACCCAGTGTTTACAATGAATATTATAGGAAGCCTAAAATTAAGATGATTAAATAATCAATATGCCACTAAAGGCAAATATATTCTGTAACTCTTTATAGTGTGACCAAATATAATAAAAACATCTTTTTGAGATTTATGGTCATTGTGATCGATGCTCAAAGGCCATTTAGTTGGTAACAAGGTAAAACATGGCAGCTTCATTAGCAGCTCAAATAAATGGTATAAATGAGATGGCAGAATAATGCTTAACACACTTAATATAAAAAACTACGCAAGGATATAGTATATACTAATTCCTATGTACTAGTTTTACAGGTTCACTAAGGAAAACTACTTTGTTATATTGGCAAACAGAACTACTTTGTTCTTGGTTCTATCTACTTTGTTCTATTCTATTTAAAGAAATAAGACAGCTTTCTTTAAAAACATCATGTATTTGAGCCTACTAATCAATCTTAGTATTACTAAAAGTGGAACATGGTATTATGTTCCTCATGACGAGACAGAAAAAGAATATAGTATCTATGACACATTCTTATCTAAAAAAATTCCATCTGAATCTAATTGAAATTCTAGGAATTATAGGATAAAGAGGAATAAGTTAAATAATACCAAAAAGAAGCAATTACCTAAATCCAGTAAGATGAGGGATAATCTGTAGGACAAACAACCCCAGTTTTTCCAACAAATCAATACAACATTAAAAAATAAAACAGAGGGAGGGCAACAACCACATGCAATATGCAGACTCTTTGTGGATCCAGACCATAACAAACCAACTCTGAGACAACCAGGAAACGTGAGTACGGCCTCGTCTTGTATCTAATACGGTGTTAGATAATATTTGAAAATAATTTTGCTAATCTTATTAGGTCTAATAATGGGTCTTTTCAAAATTCTTTATCAGTTGGAGATGTGCATTTACTATTTTTAAAAATAGAAAGAACATACATTTTGTGGCTCAGATTTTTGTGATTTTGAGTTACAGAGCTTCTCTTGGTGGGTGAAGGTGAAGTTCCTCTTCCCACTACCCAACTCCGGGAAGAGCCATGTGAGTCTCACAAATGTTACTAGCAGTTTTGAGCACATCCACTTTCTTTCTCGCCCGTCTTCCTTATTTGTCACAGGGCTGAGAGGCACATTCAAACAGTTTACTATTGTTCTCAGCTTCCCCAGCTATAAACACGAACTTGGTGAATAGCTTCCATCTAGTCTTGGCATGTGCAAGTTAAGGAAACGATTAGCAAAATCAGAGAACGAGAATAGAAGGATTTGGAAATGGCCATTTTATAGATAAAGAAACTGAGGCACAGAGACAGAGTGGTTTCTGAGGTCATGCTACCAGCGACTGACAGAGCCAGGCCGAGAACGTGAGTCTCGGTGGTTTGCCAGTCGGGGCTCTTTCTTGCGCCCACGCGGAGTGGCCCCACCCTCTACTGACCTTCCCATGCTCCTTCCTCACGTGGAATATGTACACATCTCTCTGCGTGAACAGGCGGTCACACTCCCAACACGTCCACCCAGGACTGGCCACTTTCTTGGAGTCCACTGATTTTTTCACAGGAGATGGAGATTTCTTTTCCAATTTCTCTTTCCCGTTCATGGATTTGGTGTCCTCTTTGTTCAGATTTGCTGAATTTTGAGTTGCAGGCTTAATGCTCAAAGGCAAGTTTATACCCAAGTTTGGAGGCCCTTCAATACTTTTCAATGTTCCATGCATAGACTACATTATAAAAAGAAAAGAAATATCTATCACAAATCACACCACTAAAAGAAAGCACATGAAGACTATCTAAATTCATTATAGACATTTCAATAGGATTTTATATTCATTCAAAAAACATTTCTTAATATATAAAGAAGAAAACCCAATCTAAATAGACATTTAAAAAGATAAAAGCATATTCATTTTTATGATTGCTGTTATTTTTAGTTCCAAATAATTTTTAAAGGCTTATATATTTGTGCCATTTTAAAATTCTTTAAAGACCAACCTTCAAATTAAAATTCTTTAATTTGAATCCAAATTAATCCTGGTCCTCAATCCTCCCACAATGTCCCAGAGGGAGGCCTCTCTACAACAGACCATTTCTGAAGAACACTTTAATTTCCCATCAGCCCAGAAATGTCTAAATAGGCTAATATACCATTAGGTATTCAACCAGAATGAACCGACTTGAACGAACATCTAAGACCAATACGTTAATAGCAAACCTTTCTCTTTCCTTTCATGTTCATGGAATACCTGAAACGGTTTGGTGTTTGCTAGGTAATTTTCATCTCCCTACATCCTATTCCAACCCATCTCTTTTTACTGATAGCACCCAGGCCTGAGAACCATGCACATTAGATATGTAAAACATCTTTTAAAATTGTTTAGCTGTTTATTATCATTAATAGCAACAACAGCCATCTTCAACTTAAACTCACAGGATTTCGAATTTGAGAAAGGTAAATTAGTACAATTTGATTATAAGACCAGGGCACTTTGGTTTTTGTTCTATGTTCTAAAAGCATGGAGAAGAGAAGGAAGGAAGGAAGGGAGGGAGAAAAGGAAAGAGGGGAGAGAAGGAGGGAGGAGGGAGGGAAGGAAGGAGGGAGGGAAGAGGGAGGAAGAAGAAGGAGGGAAGAGGAAGGAAGGAAGGAAGGAAGAAGAAGAAGGAAGGAAGAAGGAAGAAGGAAGAAGAAGAAGGAGGAAGAAGAAGGAAGGAGACAGAGAGAGAAAGAAAAGAAAATCTGTGCTGCAATATATAATTTATCTTTGAATAGGGCCTTCTCTTATTGGCATTCAGGATTGTAGTTAGTCTCTGAATTCCTGAACCCACAGAAAGACATAACAAGAAAAACTTTTCCACACGTGCAGGACCCCCCTGCTGGGTCACAGTCTCAACAAAGTGTAGATCTCAGCCCCACATTCCTTCTTGAGTGTTCAAGTAAGGAGCTATTCCTTCAGCACACTCTCCATACTTACTCAAGGTAAGGTCTTCTCTAAACAGTACCAAGAATTAGCCAGCCTTCTTCATACTGTCTTCCCCAGAGGGAAAAAGGGGCTGGAAGATTTTTCTCATTAGGAGAGGTTTCGAGATCTACCCAAACAGACAACCATTAAACTGATACACAGAAGGGGGAGAAGGTGAATGTCTAACCATGATCCTTTGCAAAGAAAAAATCTGGAGCAAGACGTGATTTCTGGATAGTCAAAAACTATACATATGCTTCTTTTCTACTGTGCAGGGCAGAAGGCTTCTCTGTTTGAATGGCCCTTTTTCAAAAGAGAAACTAAGTTTTTACATTTTTAACAACTTAAAACCCAAAGGAAACAAAATCTAAAACCTTCTAAATAAACTTTTCTTAAGTTTCCAGGCATATGCATTTTCACTAATGGACAAGTTGAAGAGAGAGTAAAGTATTATTCTTCTGTAAGATAACCTTAAAGTACTATAGAAATCACAGAAAAGCAAAAAGTTCCGTACCAAAAGAGGATGATGGACTGTGTGCTAAAAAGAACATTTCAAATTTACTAATTTTATTTACACATTACAAGTAAAAACAAGACTATTAAAAACAAATGTCTGGGAGGCTGAGGCGGGCGGATCCTTTGAGTTCAGGAGTTCGAAACCAACCTGAGCAAGAAGGAGACCCTGTCTCTACTATAAATAGAAAGAAATTAATTGGCCAATTAATATATACAGAAAAAATTAGCTGTCATCGGTGGCGCAATGCCTTACCCAGCTACTCGGGAGCTGAGGCAGGAGGATTGTTGACCCAGAGTTTGAGGTTGCTGTGAGCTAGGCTGATGCCATGGCACTCACTCTAGCCTGGGTAACACAGTGAGACTCTTCCTCAAAAAAAAAAAAAAAAAAAAACCCACAAATGTCATTTTTAAATAAAAATAAAGCAACTTAATTCTTTTAGAATTGGTTTTTCCAGCTGAGCACAGTGGCTCACGCTTGTAATTCCAGCACTCGGAAGGATCGCTTGAGGCCAAGACTTTGAGACAACACAGTAAAACCCAGTCTCTACAAAAAAATTTAATAAAAAAAAATAAATAAAAATTAAAAAATTGGTTTTTTCTTAGCTCCCTTAACAATAATTAATTTAAATAAATGTTTGTAACTTGAAAGTGTACTTTAAATGTAAATGCCAATGTAGAATATAGGGGTCCTATAAAGTAAATAAATATACATTTTGGCAGAACAAATGACACAAATTGGATTAAACTGGGCAAAGAAAGATCTCCCTTCAAATGAATATGCATGCAGAGAAACACTGTTCTTGTTCCACTTCCTCTTAATTCCTTCCTCATGAAAAAACTGTGCAGCACAGGTGCTGAGCAATGTGAATAAGTAACAAAAGCTAAATACATTACCTTAAAAATGAAAACAAAACAGGGTGACCCTAAACTTCATCCTCACCTATCCCCAAATACATAAACGCAGGCTAACATTTGAAAATGCACAGAACATACTTGCAACGAGAACATAAGTGGTTACTCCCACTGTTTGCATGTCATGCAGTCTTACAAAGGTTTGGATGAATAAAAACCATTCTTTCCTCTTTGCAGGCACCAAGATTTTACCACTCCTCTTCAGTTCCCATTTCTTGGAACCTGTATTCCTCCAAATTCGCTATTAGCACCGGGAAGGCCCTACCCACAAAGTCACTGACCCCACCTGCAGATATAAAGATGAGTTCCAGAAAGCCAACACCTTAAAAGCCTCTTCAGAAGCAACTGTTCTTTCTCTTGTTCCTTTTTTTTGGTTGCCCCATATATAGTATGCTAAAATATTTTGGTCTAATTCCAATGTCCCTAGGTTTTTATTAGCAGTTTTTGCTTTTTTCGGATGATTCATTAAATAAATATTTACTGTCAAGATAATTTTGTAATCTTAGCTAAAACACTGGAAATATCTCAAAAGAGGATTTTACTGTACTTCAAGTGAAAATGATGAAACATGCCTCCCATGCACTTCATTCACTCTAGTAATGGCACAACCACCACTATCTTCACTTTGCCAATAAAGAGTAGAATCTCCAAGATATTAACTTCATTTACAGTAAGCCAATTACTCTATAGGCACTCTAATATGCTCAAGACAGGAAATTCTAAGGGTTAATAATACAGTCATTTAACTGACACAGGACTAGACTAATTCAGAGACTTTATTTGCTCTTTAAACTGACTTAAAAAAAATATATATATATATAATGTATTTTTAAAAGAGCAAAACTAAGAGAAAGAGATTGAGTTCATGATAATACTGGGTCTCTTGTTTCTCTGTTTAAAAAGTAAATCATTTTAATCCCTGAAAGCCAGTGGATATTATCTCCTAATCACACAAGGAATAAAATTGTTGAACCTATCACAGTGGACAGTTAAGAAGCTAGGACTAAGCACTGGCCTTAGTAAGCTTAAAAGGCTATAAATAGACTTTGGTGCCCCTTTTGGGGGTTGGAGTAGTCCAAACTGGACATACACTTATTCATCTCATTAACTGCAGCCCCCACGGACCAGGTACTATGCTAGATATTTGATAGTCAATTCACATGCTATCTTTAGAGAAAAAGAAAAAAGATTAAAAGATTTAGGGGTGTCAATTATAATGCAAACTTAACTACTTAAAAAATTACAAAGGAAAACCTTCATTCTTCTAAATATACTGATGTTTTGTGAAAATTAACATAACCCATCCATCACAGCTTCTATTTCATACAACACAAGAGTTCTCAAAAGTAAACTTCACAGTCATCATTTTCATATACATGTATATGAACCCTAATGCCCTACTATTCTTTTAAAATCGAGGCATGCATTGGTTCCTTTTCACTAGTCTTTCACGGTGAGCAGATCAGGACTCCTGAATAAGAGCAGCCCATAGTCAAGTGAACACACGGTGACCGCATGTCAGGTGCTCACTGACCACTACCAGCATCCATCCCTTCCTTCAACAGCAAGGTATGTTTTTTAGTAATCTGTAGCTCAGGCTTGATTTATGAGCAACGAATGTATCTGCAATTCATTTAAAGGAGAGGATAGATGCACACACACCTTGATATGGTCCATCATAAGTTGCTTCTGTGCATATAAAAGAGAACAGTCTGGACACTTGAAAACAGACACCTTCTGGTTTTCAGTGTGTTGGTCAAAGTGGCGATACAGCAAGGTTTGCAGGGTGAACACAGTGTCGCACATGGAACACTTATATATTATTCTAAAATAGAAGAAGTGCAGCGAAACAATGTCAGTCAGCCTTATCTCTCAAGTCAAAGAACTGCTACTTTACAGCTGAAGAACTCAGGAGGCAGAAGCACACTGAGTACACACAAATATAATACAAAGAACAAAAGTTTGGCTTTGAAACAAACTTTGGAAGACAGCTAGCATCACTCAATCATAGAACAATCTTAACATTTTGGGGTAAAGACGCATTTGGCTACATTTAGTTAGAAGTCTAAATTAACGACCATTTTACTGCTAGCAAATCTACAACCGTACAAAGTCTACACGTAAGTTACTTTAACACAGAGCAAAAGCATCCCCTTTTTTCGAGATTTTTTTTTAAGATCAGACAAGGCAATATAGCTCGATGGTAGTACAACTAACTTGAAAAAAAAATTGAATTTGATTAATGAACTAAGTAGGCCTACTCAACTCCAAAGTTTTCTTTTAGAGTTAGCAACAATTTTACGCTTAACTGTCAACCTTTCTATACCTGTTCTTAACATAAGAAGCCTTATGCCAGTAAACAATTATACAGCAAAATAAATAGGAAGGAAAACCCACAACACTGCTGTTTTAACACTTGAATGTTTCTTGTGCTTTAAATGGTTTAAAATACTCACTTGTTGACTACAAACTATTTCTGCACCTAATATGTTACCACCAAGTAGCCTCCTTAAATTAAGTCAGCAGACCTTAATCTTCTGAACATAATCCCTCCTACCCACCCACACTCTTCGCTGAAGCCTGGGCAGAAGATGCTGATATCTGCAGGGGTTAAAGGACAAAGCCTCCTCTGCTACCACCTTTCACCTGCAATGGATCTCAACGGTCACTTGTGAACCACTCTGACCACAGCAGGTCACCCTGCTCCTTAGCGGTGGCCCTGTGGGAATCTGTGTCTCCTTTGAAGAGCTAGGAGGATGGGCACAAAGAATTCCAGGGAGCAGGTTAGGAAAAGATCAAAGAGAAGTGACTGAATGTGAAGGTTAGAAGGTGAAAATGTGAGGTTTAACCTGGTATTTCGACAGCAAAGTTAAAATTAACCTGGTAGTTCGACAGCAAAGTTAAAGAAAGGAATGCCCCCTAAAACGACTTGCCTTTCTCTCAGGGCCTTAAGAGACCACTTCTCACGTAGCTTCAAACCTCAGTGTGAGTCTCTGTCTAAAAATGATAGATTTAGCCTTCATTTCTTTTCAGTTTGGGGGCGTTTCTTTTGTTTGGGGAGGGGGCCTGGGGAAGGGGAGATAGAGTCTCGCTCTGTCTCCCTGGCTAGAGTGCAGTGGAGTAACTGTAGTTCACAGCAACCTTAAATTCCTGGGCTCAGTGATCCTCTTGCCTCAGCCTCTTGACTAGCTGGGACTACAGGCATGTGCCACCATGCCCAACTGATCTGTCCATTTTTGTAGAGATGGGGTCTCCCTCTGTTGCTCAGGCTGGTCTTCAAATGCAAGGCTCAAGTGATCCTCCTGCCTTGGCCTCCCAGAATGCTAGGATTACGGGAATAAGCCACCACGCCTGGCCCTTTTTTTTTTTTTTTCCTTTTTCTACATAACATTTATAAATTTAAGTGGAATAGCACATTATTACAAGTTCTTGACATGTTGGTTATTTTTCCTCAGAGCCCATGTACCCTTGATTGGCGGGGGGTGGGGGTTATTTCTGAAGATCAGACAAGGTTTTGCAGGACTTTAAAATGCAGCCCAATGTTAATGATGTGCCATCATTAACCTAACAGGTGTTGACAAAGATGTTCACTTTCTCACTGTTTGAAACAGCTTAGTGTTGTGAACAGCCCAAACGACCAGTAACACAAGTGATTATATAGAACAACTATTTGGTCATTAAATTCAAAATGCCCAATTTCAAATCAAAAGTTTAGTTTATTATATCTCAAACAAGAAGCAGTACATTTAGTCAAAGTTTGTGCCTAAACTATCGACACAGTTTTGCCCTCTCAACGGTAGCTTGTTTATGCCAGCAGAGAAGCAGCCTGGAGAGCAAGTGGCGACGAAACCATGAGAAGGCATTTTCCACCGCTTGTTGAGATTGAGTATTTGCCTTGGAAGGAGTGGTCCAAAGCCTAGAAGAAGTGGTAGTCAGTTGGTGCAAGGTCTGGTGAATACAGTGGATGACAGAGGGTTCCCAAGTCCAGTCCCTGTAGTTGGAGCAGCGCTGTTTGTACAACATGCGGTCGAGCGTCATCTTGCAAGAGGACTGGCCTGTCTCTCTTGACCAATCTTGGCTGCTTAATTGCAAGCATCCTCATCATTTCATCCAACTGGTTGCAGTAGAGATCCGCTGTAATTGATCGACTGACCAGGTTTCATGAAGCTGTAGTGGACAATACCAGCACTGGACCACCAAACAGACACCATTAGCTTTTTCTGCTGAATATTCGGTTTTAGACTGTGTTTCAGCACTTCATCTTTATCCAACCAATGCTTGCGACTGTCAAAAAGAATCCATTTTTCATCACGCATAAGAGTATAGTGTAGAAATGGTTAGCCTTTATGTTGTGACAGCAAGAAAGGGAAGCTTCCAGGTGAATTCTCTTCTGACACTCATTTAATTCATGCAGAACCCATCTATCCAGCTTCTTTACCTTGCCAATTTGTTTCAAATGGTCCAATATTGTTGGAATAGTAACATCAAACCTTGTTGCTAATATCACGAGCAGGCTGAGATGGATTCGCTTCCTCCTTGGTCTCAGGTTGCCCACATGGCTCAACTTTAAGATTATAACGACCAAAATGAAGCTTCTCAAACCATCAACATACTGTGTGCTCATTAGTCACATCCTTCCCAAACAGTATGTTGATATTTCGAGCTGTCTGTGCTGCACTGGTTCCATGATGGAACTCATATTTGAAAATAATATGAATTTTCTACTTATTCAAGGTTTCACAAAAATTGCTCTAAAAAATTTTTAAAGATAATCACAAGCCAAACTGTGCATTTGAAAGAATGAGGATGTACCCTCACAATAAAAATAAAACAAGAAGTGTCAGAGATATCAACTGTCAAATTTAATATTTAAGGAAATCAGACATTTCATACTTAATAACCTAATACTATAAAGATTTTTTTTAATGATGTTGCAGGCCTATACCAATGACATGGAAAGATTTTCATGAAACTTAGAGCAACAGATAATAAGATAGTATATATGATATGATCACATTTTTTAAAAGTTTATAGAAAAGAAACAGAAGGCACGATTGTCATCATCTCTGCTGGATGATAGTATATGTATTCTTTTTATTGTTTCGCTTGCCTGTATTTCCCGGTTTTTCTGTAAATAGCATATAACAATTTTAAAAAAGAATAGCTTCAAGAAAAGAATGGAGATTTACTAACTAGGCTAAGAATTTCCTGAGGATTCAAGTCACACGTTTTGAGAAATAACCATTTCAGGAAAAAACGGCATGGTTCATTTTATTCATGTTACATTCCTTTGGGGAGGGATCTTATTGGATACGTTGTCTTGTAGTTAATAAGGAGATAACCTATTTGTGCTCAGGCATCTTTCTGAGGAAACTGAGGAAGAGGCTACTGCTGTAATATCAGGGAGATACAAAGGGGAAGGTGGTGACTTCACAGGGGAGAAGACTGAGAGACACCAACTTGACTTGGTGACAAAGGGTGCCATCACCACTAACCAGAGGACAGGTGGACGCTGCCTGACCTCCTGATGTGAGCTACCAAGGAGACCACACCACCTCCTCTGAGGCGTCCTGCCAAGAGCGCGAGCCCCCGTCCAGCTATGAGAAAGCTGCGACAGGCCGGGGAGGGCTGACCTCAGAACGGGAGGCCTGTGCCCCTCCTGCATGGCTGAAGACGTGCAGAGGCAGGACGAGCTGAGCAACTGTCCCAGCTGGAAGGACACTGACGAGGCTGAACAATTCGATCCAAAACGGATACCCAGAAAGGATCTTGGACAAGAAAGGAAAAAGACATCATCTCAACAACTGGAGAAATCTGAATAAAATCTAGGAATTGGACAGTATTGCAGTCAACACTGATGTCTTGACTGGGGGCTATATGGTGTAATTTACATGAGTGGGGGGGGGCAGAATACAACATAGTATTCACTTCACCATGCGCCTTTACTCCTAAATACAAAGGTAGGTGGGGGACGGGGGTGACCCCAAATACCGTAAATGCTGACAACTGAGGAATCTGGTGTGGGGGACGCAAGAGTTCTCTGTACCTTCTTCCGGCTTTTTTGTGGGCTAGAAACTATTAAAAACTGATGATGTTTTTGTTTTTCACAAAAAGCCCAAGTAAAGGCACCACGAACCTCACAGATGTGGTTTTTAGGGACAGAACATGAGGATGGAGCAAAATCTCCGAAGACAAGAGAAAAATCCCAGGGGGACAGACTGCCAGGCGACAGGAGGGAAGACACTCCGGATAGGGAGAGAGCGCTCTGCACAGAGGCGGAGGTCTGCCTGGCCACGGCCTGCTGGGAACAGCGAGAACCCGGGGTTGGCCAGACTCCCAGGGGTGTGGGAGCGGCAGGGGGAGGGCACGGTGGAGCAGAGAAGGGCTTTGAAAGCCAAACCTAAACGTCCGGACCTAATGCTAAATGCAAGCCCGGGTGAGTAGTCGGGTAACGACACTGTAACAAAGGGTGGGGGAGCAGAGGGGAGGGGGAGAGGAGGAGGAGACAGGGGGTGTGGAGGAAGAAACAGGAATTGAAAGCCAAAGCCAAATACCCACGACACAGGTCAAGCTTGGAGCCACCAAAACTCACCAGCATGTAGTGCCACACTTGGAACGGGTGTGACAGGTGAATAAAGGATGCTAAGCTCTAAGATCGTTGCCATAAACCTTCTCCATTGTCACTGCCTGGATCCCGCCAGATGCAAAGTACCACCCTCCGTGTCACGTACCTAATCCCCGCGGCCCCGTTAGGTGGGTCACGCTACTGCCATTTCACAAATGGGACTCGAGACGTAGAGAGACTTGATAATCTGCTTGGTGTTACATAAATCCCACGGCCAAGGTTCAAATTCAGCTTTCTCTGACTCCGTGGTCTGCCACCGGACTGCTATTCTAATTTTGTGTGTTTTATTTCTTAGGAACTTGTTCAAAAATTCTGTCTCTTATACAATGTTTAATTTTAGAGCTCTCATTTCTCTACTTACATACATTTGGAAACTGTAAATCAAAGGAAAGCATAGCAAAAGAAATTGCTGTTAATTAGATGTCAAGGAAAAAATAATAACAGACACACAACTTTATCAACATAAAATACAGTAATGGACATTCAAAATGATCTTGAAGCATCCAGAAAATGTCAAAGGGTGTTCAACGTGTCCTTTTAGACAGCAGGGAGACATGCCTGCCCCCACACTGGAAAACAGGAAACAAAGCACTTACAACAACGACTGGCACACAGGAAACGCTACCTGGGTGTGTGTTAAATAAAAATCTCGTGTCGTGCTTTTAGAACTGAGGTGCTGTGAATGCAGGACTTTGTATTTTCAGACATCCATGTGTTCTCTAAAGAAAATGGGCGAGGGATTATTTTAATATTGATCGTTAAGAATTAATGTAAGCATTTGCATTATTTGGCATCATTTGCATGACCACCTGTTAACCAAATACTGCTGGGAGATTTCAGTGCCTGAGGTTCCTTTGCGGTGGGACCTACTTACTGATTTTGGACTAATGTAAACAGGACAGAGATGGATTTAAAATGTCAAAATGAAACTCTTGGGCCAAATGTAGGCCAAACAGCCACAAGACGGAAACTTCTACAGCAGCTTGGATCGGAAAAGGTGGCGGAAGAGTTTCCCAGGCGCTATAGTACAGGTCTGATGGGCCCTGCAGAGCCAATCCACCTGTTGCCACAGCCAGGGCGGGATACAGCCACCCGCATGCTGCGTCAGTGCTATCAACTCACATCTCCTTCTGTTTACCATTGCATCTGTAAATTTGTTGTGGTTTTATACGTCAATATAAACTATTTTTAGGCTTGTACTTGTTAAAGAACCAAAGTATTAAAAAAAAAATTTAAAGAAAATACTAGAACAATGTTTTCCTAAACACTACTCAAATCTGAGGAATACTGTTTTAGCTGATTTTAATCATTTGCTACCTTATACTCCCAGGTAACGACTGCTATTACAGAATTCATACAATTAAACTTCATTTATTTGAATAAATGAACCAGACAAAAACTACACTGACTGGAGGGGGGGAGGCTGCATCAGTGCCCAGAAGTCTTACTTGTCATGAAAACTGAGGACACTGAAATTCACTAATCCCCATCTTCAGAGTCAAGATACCAAGTTGCATATGGGACCCCTGATTTGGGATGTGTTTCATGCTGAGGATTAATCTACAAAAATCAGAGTGAAGATATTATTAGAATAAAACTTCACTGTTGTTTAGCAAAGGGTCATTTCTAGTCTTCAATCACATTTCTCCAAAACTCAATGTTACAATAAGAGCCGTGTGTGCGTGTGCATGCGTGTGTCATATCTGCCCATGCTCCCCCTAATACTTCCTTGATTATGGAGTTACGGGCAAAAACATACCAACAGATTTGGACAGGAAAATCTAGCCTCGAGTAATCAGACTCTCCATTATGTGATCTAGGAATTAAACGAGCACAACCGGGAGCATTTGCTCCAGTGCTGTGCACAAATTGGGAGAGTGGAGAAATGCAGGCCGGAACTGTGCTTACAGAGGCCCCATGCTCCTGACACAGGGACGGTGCGCCACACACCTGAGATACGCCGCCTCATTCTCCCCTCACTAAAGCATGACTCTCACTCTACGGGGAGAAAACTACAGGGGAGAAAGTGTACTGGGCAAGGTCACACGGCTGGCGGGCAGTAGGATGTGACCCTCTGCTGCGAAGCTGCTCTACTCCGGGCAGCCCCTAAGAGTCTGCTCACGAACCCTTTCATAATTAAAGACTCCACTAAGCAAAAAACTGATCAAATTAAGAGCAAGATTATGGCAAAAATAAAATTTGCTTTGATTAACCAAGGACTTATACTGGCTATGAAGTTAAACTCAGTAACCAGTGCCTTGAGTTGACTTCATCTCAGAAATATTACTCTTTAAGTAAAAAGTGTATCCTATGAAAAAGGAACTATGGAAAAATTTAAAGATGACAGCTTTGTTTGTTGGTTTTTTAATAGTTTTCCTAGAACTTGTCAAAATCATCTTATAAATAAAATAGATAAAATATGTGCTTGCTGAATAAAAAATTGATGATAAGAGCATAAATAATAGGTAACATTTTTGGACAAGGACTTCACCTAGAAAGAATAGAAAGGTTTGGGTGAACTATGAGCTATGAGCTGTACTTCAAAGAGCATAAAAATTGGCATAGTTGTGTAATTTTTCATATCTTATTAAATTTTATTCAGTAGAACTACTACCTCCTCTAAATTACTAATAAAGTAGTGGATTAAAATGTCGGGATGACTTACTTCGGTTCTCCTATCTTGATGCCAGGATGCTGTGTGTAGGCATGGGAATGTGTACTTGGGGCAGACTTAAACGCCATTGGACAAATAGAACACTTGTAGAAGACTTCACAGTGGGAACCTTGAATGTGAGACTTCAGCGCAGCCACATCAGAGTATACAACATTGCAATGCACACATCTGTCAGAAGAATAAACACGCAGTCATTAGCACAAGACCACTACACATGCGCAACTGTGTAAACACTGGGTAAAATGAAAATACGGTCACAGCCCTTTCAGGGTTTCTAATGGCCTTTTGGAAGTGTATTTTGGTTTTTTTTCTATTTATAACAAATCAACTTATTTTTATATGTTTAAGAGGAAAGATTACGAAGAAGAAAAATAAAACTCAAATGGTCTCTTTTTTGAGCCTCTTTAAAACTCAAATGGTCTATTTTTTGAGCCTCTTTAAAAAAGTTTCTAAGAAAGGATGACTGGATTCCAGACTATGGTAAAACCGATGGGAGTGTGCAGGACATGTCAAGACTGGGGGACACAGCAAGACGCCCGTGACTTCTGACTCTGGAGAAGTCCATAGGCTGAATTCTGACACCAGTGCCCTGAGGTTCCTACCCATCCTCAACACTCAAATGGCGTTTCTCACACAAGAAGCTGCGATGTCTGAACCTGCATGCCAGGGACAGAAGGGCAGAGAGGAACCAACGAGTACTGGCTCCAAAGCCATGGCCCACTGTTTCCTGGTGCACGCTGACGTGGGTCAATGTATCTGGAGGTTATGGTGGCCCATGAGGTGGGGAAGGTCAACCACCTAGGTTTTCTGTCTGCTAGACGATCAATTTAAGTTCACTTGTATTTAAGAAATTACATGAATTATAAACTTATGAAAAATCAGCATCTCTAAAAAAAAAATGCCTCTTTAGATAACCTTACTTTTTGATTTCTAATAATTTCACAATTAGCTCATCTCTTACTCAAATCTAATCCTATAGAAACAACTTTAAAACTAAGATACATTTCTCTTGCATCTCATCTTTTTCACATGAGGACACTCACCAACAATTGCAATACCTCCATTTGATGACCCAATCTACTTAAAGTTCTTTCAGGTACTAGAGATACCCAAGCATACTAAATTACTCTGGGTTAACTGGCTGTGTTGTCCCAAACAGCTTAATGCCCTCTCTGTGTTAGATACTCATTTGTAAAATGAGAAGAGTTGGAATAGATCACTTTTAGCCCTTCCCAACTCTAGAAGCCTATGACTCCATTAAAAGGGGAAGACTACGTAAAACAGAAGTAGACGGGTCACTAATGAAACTGAAAATGAAGGCCCCACCACTCCATGAACCATAAAACAGAAGATTTTCCCATGAAGGGTAGAAAGGTGGTATGTTCATCAAAGGCCAAAAGACCAAGGAAGGACAAAAAGAAATAAAGAGAAAAGCACTAATTTGTTGAAGTCACTTAGAGTAAGAGGAAGGTTTACAGAAAGGAAAGAGGAAGTTAAAGTATAAACTAAAGATGGAATTTTTTTCGTGGCAGGAGGAAGTGGCTGAGACTCAGTCCAAAGCACCAAGGGAAAACCCTTCCTTAACGTGAGGCAGGAAAGCAATGCTTTTGGTAAGAACTTACAAAAAGAAAACGTTATAAAACATCTGCCTACAGAAGAAAGAAAAGGTTCGGGGGCAATAGACGCCAATGGGAAATGTAAGTGAAACAGGAAAGAGAAAGCAGAACTTGAAGGGCTCGTACAGGACCCTAACCATGCTATGAGAAAGCCAGCCTACTAAGAAATATTCAACATACCTGAAGTCCTTTTTGCTCCGGGCACCGATCAAGTTCCTTTATTTTTTGATTGTTTTTTAAGAAGTGTAAATTTACAGTATGGAATCCTATAATGACTCCCCTTTCGAGATGCACATCCAATGTGTCAGGTGGCAGGAAAATTCAGAAAAATATTTGACTTTTACCAAGTTAACCAGGAGCTAGGGGTGCCCTGTCAATATTTGGGAGATGTTATAGGAGCAAGAACAAGGCACAGTGACTGCATCGAGGGGAGACAGAGGAAGGCATCGGAGCCATGCTGCCATGTTGGAGCCTTCTCTGGCTAAAGACAAAACAAACTGAAAATGATCAGCTATGGAGCCAAAAGGAAGAGAAAAACACCACAAGGGCAAGAGGCTGCCAAGCCCCAGTCAAACATGAAAATGGACCGTTATTTCCAACAGCAAGAAAAAAAATTAAGGTTAAAATTTTTTTCTCTCTTCTAAAAAAGCGGTAAGCATGAACTAAACCTCATGACAGTTGTATTTTTGTTTTGTTTTCATTTTTTTTTTTTTTTTACAGTTCCTATAGTCTCAAGTCCAAGGGATGGTGGGGAGGGGGGGGAGGACCTATACTTAAAAACTTTTGGTAAAAATTTGAAATCTCCAATTCGAAACACCAAATTTAAGCAACTGTGAATGGAGCAAAAGAACAGAAACGCAAGGATAGTCTTTTCCAAGTGAGTTGACTACTTTCAGCCTACACGTGGAGCTTCTGTTTTAATTCAGGAAAGATACCAGGAATGGCTAAAATTGCAGAAGCATTACTTCCTTTCCTTTATTCATTCCAACCTAAGTTTACTTTCATTATGTTAGAAAAATAAACTAAACATTGAGAAACGTTTGGCATCATTTCTCACAAGAATAGCACTTGGAAAATGTTACAGAGCTGCTTTCTATTATTAAACACAGAATCCACTAATAGCTCAAAACGTGATGAGAGCCAAAGTATTACTCTGCATGGACTTTGTGGATCTAGGGCACCTTTCATTATCCTGTTTTACTCTATAACATCCCAGTGGAGCCGGAGGCAGGCAATGCACCAGTTTTATAGACAGAGACATCACGGCACAGAGAGCTTACACAAACTACCACATAATTAGTCCCTGCCAGACCTGGTACAAAAAACTCTGGTTTCTTGATTTCCAAGCCAAAGGTTTTCTACCAGGCTATATCCTAACCCATAAAATATTTGTGTGTTACAGGTTTGAAAGCATGAGATAAAAACGTGAAGTCTCATAGCTTAGTGTTAGAAAAATGGGCACAGCCACCCGGGAATCAAAGATACCATAACTTAAACTTAAATAAAACCATCAAATCATGCCAATTGAACTTCATTTTTATAAAACATCTTAACTGTATTACAACTAAAAAAAAAAAATCACCGTGTATTAACAATCTAACATTAGAGTTACCAGGTAACCAAACATTTAATGTTAAGATAAACGTAAAATACAGTAATACCTCTATTAACAAAGACTCTGTGCATTGGTAACAGGCTTTCTTGGGGCATCTTCATCAGGTCAAAATATAAACAGCACAGGAATGCATTTCAGAAAGTCATAAAATGGAGAATAAAGTTCAAATATATCACTGCTCAATGCTAGCTAATCTATCATGAGATTTGCTAGATGTAAAATACACATCTGGGAATCTTAGCGGGCAGTGAAAGAGGCCATAGTTAAGATGTGCGGAGAAGACAAGATGTGCAGAGGAGACCTGGACTCAGGTAAAGGAGGAAGAAGAGGAGAAGGAGGAGATGGAAGATGAAGAGGAGGAAGAGAAGGTTATTTGGAGTGGAAGGCTCTTCCAGAGAGAGTAGTGTTAGAAAAGAGTATACACCCGATCCTTCAATGTGGCAAAAATAAAACTAATAGACCATCGCACCTTTTCTGTTTTCAGTAGAGGAGGGAAAGTCTAAAGAGGTACAGAAATGCATGGTGTTCTTACAGGGGTTAAAATGCAAAGAGTGGCCAGGCATGGTGGTTCATGCCTGTAATCTCAGCACTTTGAGAAGCCAAGGCGGGAGGATCACTTGAGACCAGGAGTTCAAGATGAGCCTGGGCAACATAGCGAGACCCCCATCTCTACAAAAAACTTTTATTAAAAAAAATGCAGAGTATGACAACAAAAGTGCGCTAGAAAGGGTGCAGAAAGAAAAAGCTGACAGTCACTCAAAGCCAAACTTCCACACACACGCAAGATTTTGCCTAAAGGTTCCATTTACCCTCGGCTTTGTGCAAACCAGCAGGGCCAATATTACATTAAAATGACTCCAATGGATCAACTCTGATAAGATAAGCTGGGTTCTCAGAGGATCTGTTAATCGAGGTATCACCGTATGACCCTGAAAACTATGTGCGCAGACCACTCGAAATGCTGTGTGGTTATAAGTGAACAATATACTGACCGAAAACCAACTCTCCGAGTGTAGTGCAGACAGTTCTTGGTGACGTGGGTCTGGAAGTGCACCGACCTGCAGATGGCCCCACACTCAGGGCAGGTGTAGGGAGATTTGTGCTGATGGATTCTCTGGTGTGATGCATAACTGCACTGGTTAGGAAGCAGCATCTGGCAGATAGTGCAAGTCTTCTAAATAAACCAAAGGGGGAAACAGGGTTGGTCCTACAAAGTATTTTCTAATTTGCAAAGAACCTTGGTTAAACCTCAAAATAATTATACATCCCTCATTTTGAATGCTACTATAATTGACTCTAAGCCCAAGGGAAAAAGCAAACTTGAAAATTACACGTCCACTGTAAAGTTCTTTATCCTGTAAAATAAAAAGAAGATGTACTATGTAGGCAGGCTCATCCCAAAGACTGAGCTAAAAATGTCAGCTCTAGGTAGAGTTCCAATTTCGTTACTTTCGCAGTTTGTTTAATGCAAAGGAGAAGTATTAGAACATGTACTCTTGCAAATTATGTTTAGCAAATCAACTTTAATGTATATTTACAGGTTTGTAGGAATACATATCTTGATAGTCATAGTTGTCACAATTTACAAAAAATTTTGTTCAAAATAATAAAAGTTAATTAGAGGCTAATCCAGTTTCATTTTTCTCCCCCATGTCACTTCGGTTACTTGAAATCTGAAATATGGGAATGCAAAAGAATGGCTACAGCAATTAGTTCTTTTTGCACTTAAATTGAGCTCTAAATGGATGAGCTGGCCATAATATAATTTGTTAAAATCAATGAACTCAAGCTCAAATACATAAATTTACACATTAAATTGAAATTGTATAGAGCTTAAGATGTGATTATGCATAAAATAAAATTAAGACTGAAATCCTCTTTGGAAAAGGCTCTAAATCATTAACTATCCAGGAAAAACGCAAACAGTATTTTTTATCCCCTTAGATGTAAGCACTAAACATAGTATATTTTTAAAACACAAAACCAAAAAGATATAAAGTAAATATGAACTGAGGTCTTATTACTTCCACCCCCCAAAAAACCTAATGTAGCATGACATAAACTGTGTTTGAATACTTTACAGACATTTGTGCAAAAACAAATTAGCTACCATCTTCTAAAACATACAATTTGTATTAAAGCCAAAGAAATTCTCAGAACATAGATACTTGCTAAGATGTAAAACATTCTTTTATACTGACGATAGTTTTGAAATTTTAAAACAACTTTTTATTCTTCTAGCTTTTGAATCAATCCCAAAAATTAAGGTTTAAACCACCCAGTGACTTAGACTAAGAAAAATTAGGAACTCGCTTGAAAATTCTTTCTTGGTTTTCTCCTAAAAGGACTAAAATACAAATTTTATCCCACAAAATGTTTATTATAGTCACAAAATAAGAACATTACAGACAGCTTTGATGAGGTTAGCATCATTAAAAAATAGCATTCCTCTTCTACTAACATATATTTCAAAGGTTAAAACATGCTACAACAAGGAAAATCAATCAAGAGATTCATTAATTAGAAGATCCTATTAACATCTACGTTATCACAGGTAATCACTTGTTTCTTTGAACGAAATTCTTCTATCTACCTTCACACAGTCCCAGGCAGTGAATTATAGTGTCTGAATTTCCACAGGTATCTTAAAATATCTTGTACGCGTATCTGGGACTAAAATTAACATTTTCTATACTAAAAGTCACAAAACATTTTTTTACATATATACATAATATATATAGTAGATATATCTATAAGTATGCAGTGTGTGTGTGTGTATTTGTGTATATAAATAAAAATATATGAATTGGCCCCTTCCACCATGAGCCAAGCATCTCATTTAACCACTTAGGTATGAGCGCCGAGTATAGTTGACAGCCACAGATGAATGCACACAGCGACTGTAGCCGACAGCCGTGATGTGACTTTTCTAATTTTTCATTTATCAAAATAAAATTGTGAACATTTAAAAATAACATAATGAAAACATAGATGTATAAGTTACCTATTCTGATTTACACTGTAAGTAAAGCTGCCTGTAAAGTAAAACGAGCTTTCAGTGCTTTCAAGCTTTCCTCATCACACAAGAGCAAAACGGATCCGTCATCAATGCACGGCACAAACTACCGTGGGGACTGTGAGTACCGGCTGTGGGCAAGGTGACATGGCCAGTGAGCGCCGTACCGAAGTGGATAATCTAAGATGTAGATAACGTCTCCAATTTTACTGATACAGAAATGAGGCTCAGCAAAGCTAAGAAAGCTGCACGAAGCCCTGCAGATATGAAGTAGAAGAACCAGGATCTGAAGCAGGCTCTCTGATGGAGGAACGCCAGGAGTGGGGTGGAAGTCACAAGGAAGGAGCACACGAAAATACACGGAGGAAAACCATGAGCAAAAGATATGAGCTCCCCTCCGTCTCCTAAGCGTCTGTCTTCTATCTAAGGCAATGTGATTATGCTACTTTTATACTAGTTACAAATAAAAACAAAGTCTAAAAAGGAGATAAAAGGGATCCCTAAAAGCTGGGGAAAAAAAAATGTTTACCTTATCTTTCATCAAGATACAGTACAAATGGCTATTCTTCACGACACACGTAGAACGCACACTGACTTAAATCACTGGGATTTATCATAACCCCCCTGTAGGCATTTGCACTCATCCATTTCCATAGGCTGAGGCTCCTCCCCCACTTTAGATACAGAAGTACAAGCAGAAAGAGTGTCAATAAAGACTGTACTTAGCCTCAAATCAAAATGCTTTCATATTTTGCAATTGCTGAAACGGGACAAGTCGGTCACTGGGGAACCAAGTTGGATACTTGGAGACCTTTAGTTTATACAGATGCAAATATATTCATGCACCTACACTGTATCTAATCCCACGTTTCTATCTTTGTTGACCTGCCTCCCTCCACACCTTGTCTCCCTTCCATTTTGAGAAAAAGCACACTATTTTGGTTGGAGACATTCTCCTCCTGATGCTTGCACAGTATCAGTAGCTTTAAACTCATATGGTATCGTTTACTGAACTGTACTCCCTCAAGTTTCGCTCACTGTACCTGTTATAGAAAACATGTCACCCCTGCTTACCGAGACAGTGGTGATGCATTTTCACAGCATAAGAGTATACTAACACTAGCTTTTCTGGAATGCTTGGAATTCATGACAATGATGCACATTCTCTGGGTTAGAGGGACGCATGTGAGCACAGGGGCAGATAAGGATTTCCTTGGGGTCTAAAACTGAGGTCCCCAACCCCCAAGCCACTGACTGGTACCAGCCTGTTAGGAACAAGGCCGCAAAGCAGGAGGTAAGCGCTGGTGAGGGAAGCTTCATCTGTACGTGCAGCGGTTCCCGGTCACTCCCATCACAACATAAGCTCCGCCTCCTGTCAGATCAGCAGGGACTCGAGGATCTCACAGGAGTGCAAACCCTACTGAAACTGTACAAGCGAGGGATCTAGGCTGCACTCTCTTTATGAGAATCTAATGCCTGATGACCTGAGGTGGGGCCGAGGCGGGGATGCTAGCGCTGGGGAGTGGCTGCAAATACAGATTATCATTAGCAGAGAGGTTTGACTGTACAATAAACATAATGTGCTTGAATCATCCCAAAACCATCCCCCACCCACTCCACACCCCTCCATGGAAAAATGTCTTCCATAAAACCGGTCCCTGATGCCAAAAAGGTTGGGGACTGCTGGTCTAAAAGAATCTGATGTCCCTTCCATTTTTTGTTTAAATGAAATAAAACATACATTAAAATCCTAACTCTGCTATATAAGTTGAGGCTACTTACTAGAGGATAAAGCAGCTTACTGTGACAGTTCTTGCCTTTCGAATAGAAGCAAGCACAATAAAACGCACTGAAATGGTTGTGTGTGTCTCCTGACATTTCACTTATGACATCCGAAAAGGGAGAAATGTTTTTCCACATTTAGATAATGAACAGCTAATTTCTACTCTGGGGCAGCCTCATTTGCTCAGAGAACCGTCACTTCTTAAAGTAGATTATAACTTTTCAATAGTCAGGTAACACTGGAAAGCTACAGGAAGACAGAGATGAAAAGTAATCACATTCCACGCTTTGCAATTACAGCCAGCCCTCCATATCCACGGGTTCCAAGCATCCAACCAACCACAGATAAAAACATTTGGGAAAAAGATAAATAAAAATATAAATACAAAAGTATAACAACAATTTACATAGCATTTACATTGTATTACATGTTGTAAATAATCTAGAGACGATTTCAAGTATACAGGATGATGTGTGTAGGTTATATGCAGATACTACCTCATTTTTATAGCAGTGACTCGTGCATCCTTGGAGGGTTCTGGAACCAATCCACCCAGCACATAAGGTACTGAGGTACACCTGTACTTTTCTGCCCAATCCTGGCACTAGAATCAACAGCTGACATGCAAAAATACAGGCTACAAGGAAAGGGAACAGGGCACATATTATGGCCCTGGTAAGGAATCAGAGAATGTCAGGACTCAACATCCTCTTTCTACAGATGAGGAATTATCCGAGTAATAAGGAAAATAATTCTACATGTTTCAGTTCACATTTTAGAGAAAAAGAACAGCCTGGGAAAGGTATAAGGGAAAGACTGAGAAAGGCTTGAGAAACGTAAATATAGCCATGTATTTGTGCTTAAATTCAAATAGACCAAAGGCCTGTAGCAACATGAAACACTGAAGCTAAAGGCAGAAACACTTCCAGCTTAACAGCCAGCCTGGATGCTAAGTAAATTACTGTCACCTCATTAACAGTAGTTTTATAATTCTGTCTAAAGTATAATTACAAAAAGACAATAATAATAAAGGATACCAGTGGCTTTCACTTTTGCCCAATGTCAAACTGAGGACACAAAGATAGCATTTCATTTCATTTCAGATCTCACTTATGTGGAAATAACACAAAGCAAGCATCATAGAAAAAAATGGCCCTACGTACCTTTTGTTCCCAAAGCTAGTTGGCTGTGGTGGTTTTGTCCTCAAATCATGCTGCTACACTCAAAATCCCTCATAAGAGCTGACAGCTAAAGGAGCAAATTTACAGAAAGCTGTATGGTCCACACATAACCTATTTAGGAGATTATCACTGCAGAAAATAGGTAAATGAAGGGTTGGTGACACTAAAATACAAGCTGGGACATAACCAGTATG